ACATGGGAGGGCTCAGTGGCCACACAGGTGAGCTCCACCTCAGGGCTTGGTGGCCTTGCAGGAGGTCATGGTGGCCCCACAAGGGCTGGGTAGCCACAGGAGGACTCAGTAGCCCCACAGGAGCACTCAGTAGCCCCAGGAACACCCGGTAGCCCCCCAGCAGCACCCGGTAGCCACAGGAACACTCGGTAGCCCCACAGGAACACTCAGTAGCCCACAGGAACACCCAGTAGCCCCAGAAACACTTGGTAGTCCCAGGAGCACTGGGTAGCCCCAGGAGCACTGGGTAGCCCCAGGAGCACCCAGTAGCCCCAGGAACACTCAGCAGCCCCCCAGCAGCACCTGGTAGCCACAGGAACACCCGGTAGCCCCAGGAGCACTCAGTAGCCCCCCAGCAGCCGCCGGTAGCCCCACATGAACACTCGGTAGCCCCACAGGAACACTTGGTAGCCACAGGAACACTCGGTAGCCCCACAGGAACACTCAGTAGCCCACAGGAACACTCAGTAGCCCCAGCAGCACTCAGTAGCCCCAGGAGCACTCAGTAGCCCCACAGGAACACTCAGTAGCCCCAGCAGCACTCAGTAGCCCACAGGAGCACTCAGTAGCCCACAGGAACACTCAGTAGCCCCACAGGAACACTCAGTAGCCCACAGGAGCACTCAGTAGCCCCCCAGCAGCCGCCGGTAGCCCCCACCTGAGTGAGGGTGCGGCTCCAGCGCTGCAGCAGCTGGCCCAGCTCGCCCTCCGCTTGCCGCAGGGCCTGGCGCCGCTGCGCCGCCGTCTCGGCCCCGATCAGGTCCCGCACGCCCTCGGCCCCCGTCAGGTCCAGCTTGCCCCGGCGGAACGCGCGGAGAGTGAACTCGCCACGCTCGGCCGGACGCAGCCCCGGCAGCCGGCCTGGACACCGGAGAGGGGACACCGGACATCAGGACACGGGACAGGGACATTGGGACACCGGAGAGGGGACACCGGACATCGGGACACGGGACAGGGACATCGGGACACCGGACACGGGACATCGGACATGGGACATCAGGACACGGGACAGGGACATCGGGACACCGGGACACCGGACACGGGACATCAGGACACCGGACATGGGACAGGGACATTGGGACACTGGACATGGACATCGGGACACTGGACATGGGACATCGGGACACCGGACACGGGACACGGGACATCAGGACACCGGACACGGGACATCGGGACACCGGGCATGGGACAGGGACATCAGGACACCAGACAGGGCCATCAGGACACTGGACACGGGACATTGGGACACTGGACATGGGACAGGGACATTGGGACACTGGACATGGACATCGGGACACTGGACATGGGACATCGGGACACCGGACACGGGACACTGGACATCAGGACACCGGACACGGGACAGGGACATTGGGACACCGGACACCGGACATGGACATTGGGACACCGGACATGGGACAGGGACATTGGGACACCGGACACCGGACATTGGGACACCGGACATGGGACATCGGGCACAGAGAGGGGACACCGGGCACGGAATGGGGATCCCAGGAAAAGGACACGGATCCCAGGGATCCTGGGAAAAGGGGATGGAGCGGGGATCCCGTGGCAGGATCAGGATCCCACAGAAGGATCAGGATCCCAGATCAGGATCAGGACCAGGATCAGGACCAGGATCAGGACCAGGACCAGGATCAGGAATGGGATCAGGATCAGGATCGGGATCAGGACCAGGACCAGGATCAGGACCAGGACCAGGATCAGGAATGGGATCAGGATCAGGACCAGGATCAGGACCAGGACCAGGATCAGGAATGGGATCAGGATCAGGATCAGGACCAGGATTGGGATCAGGACCGGGATCAGGATCGGGATCAGGATCGGGATCAGGACCAGGACCAGGATCAGGACCAGCACCAGGACCGGGATCAGGACTGGGATCAGGATCAGGACCAGGACCAGGACCAGGACCAGGACCAGGACCAGGGTCAGGATCAGGACCAGGACCAGGACCAGGACCAGGATCAGGATCAGGATCAGGATCAGGACCAGGACCAGGATCAGGACCAGGGTCAGGATCAGGATCAGGATCAGGATCAGGACCAGGATCAGGACCAGGACCAGGACCAGGACCAGGACCAGGGTCAGGATCAGGACCAGGACCAGGACCAGGACCAGGACCAGGATCAGGACCAGGACCCCCCGTGCGCTCACCCAGCGCCCGCAGCACCCCGCTGACCACGGCCGTGCCCCCGTGCAGGTGCAGCTCTGCGCAATCCTCGCCCGTGAAGCTGCGGGGCCCTGCGGGGTTTGGGGGGCACCGGCTGGGCACCCCCTGCTCCCTCACCCCCCAAAAACGGGGGGACCCCTCCCCAAAGGGAGTCAGGAGAGCCCCAAGGGGCTGGGACAGACCCCCAGAGCCACATGGGGCACTGAGACCCCACCCCAGACATCCCCCAGAGCCCCCCCAAATCTGTGCCCCCCACCCTGGGAACCAGACTGAGCCCCCCAACCCCCGAATTTCTGCCCCCCCAACCCAAATTTCTGCCCCCAACCCGAAATTCACGCCCTCCAACCCCAAATTTCTGCCCCAACCCCAAATTCGCACCCCCAACCCCAAATTCACGCCCCCAAACCCCAAATTCCTGCCCCGCAACCCCAAATTCGCACCCTCCAACCCCAAATTCACACCACCCAACCCCAAACTTCTGCCCCTAACCCCAAATTTCTGCCCCCCAAACCCCAAATCTCTGCCCCCCACCCC